CCGGCTCGCCTCTCTGGGCGCGCCCCCCCCCCCCCGCCAGCTGCTCTGTAGGGCAGAGAGAGGCCGGTGTGGGACAGGATGCGGTGGCAGCCACCCGGCCGGCGGGGGCCCCCCCCCCCCCCCCCCCTGCCGCCCCCGCCCGCCGCCACCCTGTCGGGCTGGGACGGGCTGCTCCCGCGGCGCGGGGGCTCTGCGGGGAGCGGGGCCCGGGCGGGCCGCGGGCCCGGGGGAGGCCGGTGGAGGGCCCGTGGGCTGCGCCTGGTCGGGGCAGCGGCCTGCTTCCCCGTGGTGTGTGACGGGGAGGGGATGGGGACGCGCAGTCTGAGCCCGGGATGCACGGTGCGAGCGGGAGGCCGCACACCGCAACGCCGCGGGTGCAGGCTGATGACAGGCCGCACGCCTGGGTTTGGCTCTGGGTCTGCAGCTCGTTTGTGGTGTTTTATGCCATAATGCAGTCATAAACAAGGGGTAGCTTGGGGTGGCAAGAGCTGCGCAGAGAGGGGTATGGAAAATCACACACGAACGGGGTGGGGTTTTTTTGTGCAAATAAAATGAGCTGCGTTTTTCTGATGGTGATTTGGGTGGTGGCTTGATGGAGTTCAGTTACATCTGCTAATTGCTGCAGGTGTATGGGAGCTCAAAGGTTTTTAGAGGTAATTAAACCACGCTAAAAACAAAGACCACACCACTCACAGTCACATACTTTATAGATTAATATTTATAACTTGGTGCAGATGTTAAGTATTGATTTTGGTAGTATCTGACATGCACATCTGAAAAATCCTCAGCTGAGGAGTTCAACACTTAAGAACACACAAAAAGGAAGACAGTTGCTGAGAACGGTAACTGCTGTGTGTCCTATTGGAGGTTGCCGAGTGCGAGCCGTGTTACCAGATGTGCCAGTGGTGTAAAGAGGCGTGAGAGCATCCTGTGTGTCAGTGGTGGTACGTGTATGGTTTTGTGCAGCGTCTCTGTTGGGAGCTGTTCAAATCTAAAGTCATATTCAGTGCACTTTTTTCATTGACCTCTTGGTTTGTAGACAAACATGGGTGCCTACAAGTACATCCAGGAGCTATGGAGGAAAAAGCAGTCGGATGTGATGCGATTCCTCCTCCGTGTCCGCTGTTGGCAGTACCGCCAGCTGTCTGCCTTGCACCGGGCTCCCCGGCCCACCAGGCCAGACAAAGCTCGCAGGCTGGGATATAAGGCCAAGCAAGGTAATGAGACGTAGAGGCGAAGTCCGTGTGCTTCGTGATGGAGTGACTGAGTTTTATGTCCACTTCCTTCCTTCCTTACGTGATAGTAGAATAACAAAATCTGAAACATAAATATTCCCGAAGAACCTGAAGTGTCCTGCATGAAATGAACTTAATATTATAAATGTGTTAAATTGGTAGCAGTGCCCACAGCCCAAAACCGTACTTCGCGTACTTTTGAATTCATGTCTTCTGTGGCCATTTTGGCAGATGGAGATCAAGCGGGCTTTGGCTTTAATTCTTGCTCTTGTGCTGTGTTACTGCTGCAGAGGTGACCAGTGCTTTTAGTAACCTGGGTTTGGAGGGGGTGTCCTTTTTCTCCCCAGATTTTATCATGCATTACTTTGACTGTATTACAGCTGTACGTGCTTGAGTAAGCAAGATGACGTAGTTTGTGCTGTCATTAGAAAACAGTTACTGGTCAGTGAAGGAAACTTGGGGAAAGTGGTCGTCCATCTACAACTTGAGCAAATCCCTGAAACAGTATGTTTGTTTGTTATGAAAATATAAAGCTAAGAGTCTACACTTCTGTTACCGTTTGTGAAGTTTGTCTCGTTCCCTCATTTTTCAGTGATCAGATTCCAGCAGGGTTTGTGGGTGGCTTGCACTTCCGTGCTTTGTGAATGCTACCAGCAGAATATGGGATTTTAGTTTTGGGATAGTTGTTTCATTGGGTGTTTCAGGGTGGGAGTTTTTTGTGTTACAACGTAGCTGTAGCTGTTCTTAGTGTATTTGGAACTGCATAGTGGAAAGGTGCCATAAACTGTGGTTTGGAAGTAAAAAAATAGTTGTGACAGGACATCGCTTCCCTTACTCAGTTGTAATAGAAGAAACAAAAGCACTTTCTGCTAGCCACCTCCAGTTGTAGGTTTTTGTGAAGGTTGGTATAGTGACGGAATTTTCATGTGAAGCTTTTGGGGTGGGAAATGCATCAATGGACATCAAAATTGCCTTGCTGTGATTTGCACTTGCTACACTACAGAATTCTTGTAGTTCCTAAGTCACCATTTCTTTTAGGTTACGTTATCTACCGTGTCCGTGTTCGCCGTGGTGGTCGGAAACGCCCAGTCCCGAAAGGTGCAACCTACGGTAAACCTGTGCATCATGGCGTTAACCAGCTGAAGTTTGCCCGGAGTCTTCAGTCTGTAGCAGAGGTGACTATTTTGGTTATTGCTCAGAAACTTGGCTGTCAGAAGGTCTTACTTAGTCTGTAAAAGTTGAAAATACTCAGAGACAAAAAGACTCCAAACAACTGTTTTGTTAATGTGTTAGGTAAAAGGTCTTGAATACTGATGGCAGGAAAGCACCAGAGTGTCTTGAAAAGCTGTATTCAGAGAAATGAAAAAACTATTCAGACTTCACAAATGTGGTCTGGGGAAAGCACTTCTTAGGTGGTTTATTGATGTTCATAGCATATGCTTATTTCTAAAGTGTGCCACAATATTTGTAATGAAAAATAGACATAGAACTAGTATAAACCCCAGTAAAATAAAGGGTTAGGCATGAGAAAGAAAAGTTCAAATATGCTAAGGTGTCTGACTTTACTCATCACTAAATTCCACGTCTGTGTTCTGTGCCATCCTGTATGCGTTACCAGCTTTAGGTAACGGTCCTTTCACAAAGTACAGATAAGTTCCTGTCGTAAAGTATGTAGCACCTGTTTGTGTAGTAGGAGTGCGGCACAGCGCGCTTAGCTGTATCATAGGATCTGAAAGCAGCACGCCAGAGACCTTCTGGTTCTTCATAAAAAACTTTGGTACCTCACAAGCACAGAGATTGGTGGTTAATTTGTTTTTAGGTGAGATGTTGTTACCTGCTGAAATACCCAAAACGGAACCTTTCATTTGATGACATCTTTAAGTTTCATAATGTCACAGTAGTAGTGTTGGAAGAGATGTAGTACTCACCTCTAGAAAAAACTTTCAGTGGGTTAGAATTAATATTAGTCTGCACTCTCAAAAAAGAGACATTGTGAAAGAATGCTCATTGCTTTTCCATCTCGAAGCAGAAGACTTCTGTTCCCAGGACTTCAAACATATTCATAAGTGAATATGCAAGTTGAATATGGTGGAGGGGTTTTAAAAGGGGGGGACACACGTAACTGGGACATGATAATTTTAAAAAAACACAGATGATGAGTTTAAATTAAAAATGCGATTATGTATTTTCAGTGCTCATGGCATGCTCTTCATATATGCTATTACCAGAGATCTGATGGCTAATCACATGCTCGTTTGTGGT